ACCCCCCATATTTACACTCAAGCCACCCATTGAATTTGAAATTGATACACACTCCTCCACTCCACATATGGGCGAGCAAACCCAGGTCCAGACCCAAACCCAAACCCAGCCCCATACTCCGACTCCTACCCAACCGCCGCACCATGACTCCATCGACGACACCACAATCGCAGAAGTGAGCCCCACACCCACCCAACTCACCAATGCTCCCTCCCAAACCTCATCGCCCCCTTCCAAAATCCCCTTCCGCCCCCGAAAGATCCGCAAGTTATCGCCCGACACCTCCGACCCCAATTCCTCCCAACAAATCGTCGCCTTACCCGACAACCCCAAACCCCTTCCCGCCGCCGCCAAGTCCGCCAAGTCCAAGGCCGTCCAGCAACGCACCCTTTCGGCCCCGAAAATCGCAGCGCGGCCGCTTTCCTGCGAAGGCGAGGTCGAGGCGGCAATCCGCCATCTCCGAAACGCCGATCCGCTCCTGGCTCCGTTGATCGACCTCCACCAGCGGCCGACCTTTGACACCTTCCAGACCCCCTTCCTTGCCCTAACCCGTAGCATTCTCTACCAGCAACTCGCATACAAGGCCGGCAATTCGATCTATACGCGCTTCGTCGGTCTGTGTGGCGGCGAGGCCTGTGTCGTCCCTGAGACGGTCCTCGCCCAAACGCCTCAGCAGCTCCGCCAAATCGGGGTTTCGGGCCGTAAAGCCAGCTACCTCCACGACTTGGCCAGAAAGTACCAGAACGGGATTCTATCGGACGCGGCGATTGTAAATATGGACGACAAGTCGCTGTTCACAATGCTGACGATGGTCAATGGGATCGGCTCTTGGTCTGTGCACATGTTCATGATTTTCTCGCTTCACAGGCCAGACGTGCTTCCGATCAACGACCTCAGCATGCGCAAAGGCGTTCAGCTTCTCTACAATCTTGACGAGTTGCCTCGGCCGTCTCAGATGGAGCATTTGTGTGAGAAGTGGCGGCCGTACCGGTCCGTCGCGGCTTGTTATATGTGGAGATTTAGTGAATCCAAAGGAGCTCCTTCGAGTGCCGCGGCCGTGGCGGCTGGTGCGACTCTACCGCCACAGCAGCAGCAGGAGGAGCAGCAACAACAGCATCCGCAGCACCCTCAGCAACAGCAGCTTATGGATTCACTCAGCAGTCTTATTAATATTGGGTATAAATTTCAATCCCTTTCACTTAAATTCAATTATTGGTTTATGGGCAATTCCATTGAGTATCCGTTTGTAGTTTAATTGCAAATGCCGCTACAAGATGATAGCTTTGTGAATATTTCTTTTGTTTATGTGAATTTTGGTTTTTCTAGATTAGAAGCAGTCTATCTGTGCCTGAATGTTTAAACCCTTGTAGTTTGCTTAGTTCATTTCTTGTTTTGGTCGTTTGTATATACACTCTTGTTTAGTGTTTAGAATGGCATTTCAAATGCCCTCTGACTGTTATTCTTCTTATTGAAAGCTGGGTTTGTTTGCTTGAGATGCTGTTCTTACTGAAATTGATATCCCCTTTGTTGACATAGTGCTTCCTTTCTCTGACGTGTGTCGTCCTGTGTGGAAGGATGCTCTGTGCATGTTTTTTCCTTAACGTGTTTTTATACTTGCATGTTATTCTTTCTAACATTGTGCTGAATCACAGAGTTAAAGGAAAATTTCTTCCATTGAAATAGAAGATAAACATGCCCTGTTACATAATGATAAATATAAGAAGAAACTAAGCACTCTTAAACCTTTTCCTATTGAGACCCCGAACCTTTTCCTCCACCATTAGTCTCTTAATATGTTGTCTCTTCATCTTAATCTTAGAACACCCAAAGAGCATACATAGGTTGTTTCCCAATCTGTCCATGTCTGCTTAGTTGCTCAGAGTTCTTCCCAGGCTATGTAATTAAGAAATATGTTTGTAATTTCCAATCAGAGCTTTAGTCATCCAAAGCAGTAAGTGTATAGGAGTAGTAGGCTAGGTGGTGTTCCATGACACTTCCACAGCTGACTCACTTAAGTGCTACCAGGTAAAGCCATCACTACTGCCAGCAGATCTTTGTAATTTTTCTCTGCTTTTGATGTTTTTATGCTTCTGACTAAGATAAAGATATGGTATAGTTGTGCAGCTCTCCAGTTTTCTTTTTTACTATTGGTTTGTTTCTGAATAAATTTCTGAGACCCCAAAGAGTTTTTTGTGTTGGTATATTCTCCTTACCGTTAAAGGCCACAAGGTGAACACGAAAGTTGCTCTAGCTTAGGTTTAGGTAATGGTGAGGAAGCTGGATGATACCAGCCTCCAGGCACAATAGGAAACATTATGTTTACCATTGATTGTTGGGGTCTTGTTTTGTTCAAATTTAAATCTAAGCAAAAATGTCTTTGTTTATCCCTTTATCTGGTCAGCAAGTAGTAGTGGTAGATTTTTCTTGAATCAATATTACATAATAAACCATATATTTGCAGTTTTTCACTGGGTATGAAGAGATGAGCTTTTTGGTTGCTTACTGGATATTTGATTGTAGTGACCATCAATTTCTGTCATTGTTGGAGTTATGGAATATGTTATTTTGAGTATGAGCTTTGGATTAGTTTAGTAGTAGATCAGGGTGAGAACTAAATAATTAATTTGTGGTCTTATTTCAGCAAATCTTGGGAGCTCATATATCATAAATTAATAGTATTTAACTTTTTGATAAAATAAATGTTATATGTAAGAGTTTTAATGGTTTTGGCTTTTTATGGAAGGAATGGTGCCTGCATTCATGGTGAACTATCCTTTTCCATGTCATGTGATACAGGGCCTGTACCTGGGGACCTTGATCGGGAATGGAATTGAGAAGTTAGTCCTTCAGTCATGTTTATTTACTCAGCTTGAGCAAGTTCAAGAATGGTTCCTGTGTGGAAATCTTGCTGCTAAAAGCTCTGGCATGCAACCCTTCAAGGATGAGACTGTATTGAACCCTATTCAGTAATTATTATGCTTTGGGATTAAATAAACAGTGTCTATGCAATGCTCTAGTTTTATTGTCTTCAATTTAGAAAACATCGATAAGTTGGCGATGAGATTTCTTATAGGACTTGAGAGAATGCAATGCTTCAATGCCTTTACCCGTAGATTGAGTAACCGTAGCGTAGAGGGAAGCCCTTCACCTTCGGATGTGGCTAGCACTCTTGGTGAGTGTGGTTCTAATATTTGAAACCATATTTAGCTGATTTTGATTGCCCTAGTACCAGACAGCCTTCCTGCGTTTTTGTTCTTTATGCATTATGTACAATTAAATTTCAAATCATAAGCTTAAAGGGGTTTTTGCAGTCTGCTTCTTTGTTTCATATGATCTTCAGTGAGGAGTCTCTTTTGGATTCAGGCTTCTGACCTTGCCAGTTTTAAAATTGGAGGACGATCTCAATGAGCCTTTTGAGCCATTTTTTTATTTTTATTTATTCGATTTTTTGATGATATCTTTGGTTATTTTCCTTAAACTGCCACTGTGCCCAACTGTCAGCACTCAGCAGCAGGGACCTAGTCACTAAATCAGCCAAGTTTAAATGGAGATGAAGCCCAAGCTCATCATTTTGTTAAATCACGGACCAGATATAGGAAGTTTATTTGGGCCACCCTTTTCAGAAAAAGGTTCTTGTTGTAAGGGTTGCTGGGCTGACACTGCGATTTTTTTTTAATTTCTACTCAACATCTCCCATAATCCCAATTTTTATTTTTTTATATAAAAAAAAAAAAACCTAACATCACATGTCCATTACCTTCTCTCTACTTCTTCTTTTTCTTTTTTCGAATGTGAGATCCTCGAGGGGCTTTTGATCTGCAGATAACATGGAAGTACTTTCTGTATTTACGTTGGATTTTAGAAGCTGAGGTACATTGGAGCAAGAAGAGGCCGTCGGTCGAGAGTATTATTGTAACGGAAAAATACACGTGTATGATGTTGTGGTGTTATTAGATTAGTGATTGATTCGCATGTAAAGTATAAAGTGGAAACTATTGTAAATTACGTGAAAATTTGAGGCATATTTGCCAAATTTCATTCAATAATACTTCCTAGTATCAGCCTGCTATAATCATCACAACAAATGACAAATCTAGCCTTTTCAATTTTATTTGTCAACAATAAATGATTTCCTCGTCTTGATGACATGATCAATGGATAAAGCCAGAATCTTTGCAATCATCGGCAACCAACCAGCAGTGTCTTGGAGCCGCAACATACACATATGCGAAACAAAATATCTGCCACTCTCATGCATGCAATGTTTTTTTTTTTTTTTTTTTTCTCGTTCTAATTCTTTATGTCGCCCATTCTAATCCTTTTTAGGAATTTATTATATCATGGATCAAGCCAGCCATCAAAACGTTAATCCAAATGTATATTCCTCCTCCGATGGGATATTCATTTAGGGGGCGGCAGATTATATGCTTGAAGTAAAGTTAATTAATTCAGAAACCACAGTTCACAGACAGCACCATGAAAAAATAAACATGAACTTCCACATCAACTATGGGATCTGCGAGTCTTTTCTTATTACAGTTGTAGCTCCAGAATGTGGGATATCCTAACGAATATCTCTTATTCTCGATTTAATTTCGTCGTTTTATGCACCACGCCCAACATCAAAATGCCTCATCTCTAAATCATTATACCAATATAAAATGGTCTCAAAATGCAGAAACTTGGTAAAACAGCACCAACCCAAAACCGAAAACACACCACCATGATGAACTACGAGAACTATGATCCTTCCTATCCCGACCAGCCTGTGGTGGACCTCTACCTACAAGTTTGGGCTAATCTCCCGGCCTTCCGGTCCAAGCCAGCCTTCGTTTGGGTCGAAGACAGCGCCGCCATTGATGCTAAGTCAACCCTCACGTATTCTCAGCTCAATGACTCGGTGCAGTGCATTGCTTCTCAATTGCTCATCCCACTTCAAAGAGGTGACACTGTCGTCATCCTCTGCTCACCTGGGCTTGAACTGGTCGAGACCATTTTCGGGTGCCAAAGGGCTGGCCTTTTGAGCGTGCCCATTTCCCCACCTGACCCTTCTTTCACTAATCAAAACTTCCACCACCTTATAAGAGCCCTCTCCCAAACAAAGCCTAAAGCTGCCATAGCTCACCCCACTTACATCACAAGCATTAACCACTACATATCCTCCTCATCCTCCAACAAAAAGCTTGTTCATATGTTGCAAAGTCTCCACTGGATTTCCACTGTTGACATCAAAGCTAAAGATAGAAAGTTACAACATTCCCAATTGGGTCCTAAATTTTCACCATACAAAGGCTGCAGAGCAGAGGATGTGTATCTGGTTCAGTACACTTCAGGAGCAACTGGGATCCCAAAGCCAGTGCTTGTCACAGCAGGTTCAGCTGCTCACAATGTTAGGACAGCCAGGAAGGCCTACGATCTTCACCCGAATAGCGTGATTGTTTCGTGGTTGCCTCAGTACCATGATTGTGGCCTCATGTTTCTGCTGTTAACAATTGTGTCTGGTGCAACAAGCGTCTTGACATCACCAGCTGCGTTTGTTAATAGGCCAAGGCTGTGGCTCGAGCTAATAACACAGTTCAAAGCTACTTGCACTCCTGTTCCATCGTTCGCGCTGCCGTTAGTTGTCAAGCGAGGTGGGATTGACAAAGGCACCTCGCCTATACATCTATGGAGTTTACAGAATCTCATTATTATAAACGAGCCGATTTACAGGGACGCGGTTGAGCAATTTGTAAATGTGTTTAGGACTTTTGGGTTGAACCCATCGTCCATTTCTCCTTCTTATGGCTTGGCAGAGAACTGCACGTTTGTTTCAACAGCTTGGAGGAGACCATGCAGCAATCACGTTCCCAACATGCCATCATACAACAAGCTCTTGCCAAGTGCAAGGCTCGGGCAAAATGACGACGAACTGGTGGACATGGATATCATTGTCGTGAACGACGAGACGCATGAAGCAGTTGAGGATGGGATTGAAGGAGAGATTTGGGTTTCGTCTCCCAGCAATGCCTCTGGTTACTTAGGCCACCCTACAATGACTCGTGAGGTGTATTATGGAAGACTTAAGAACAAGGTCAGTCGGTCCTTTTTACGAACAGGTGATAGGGGTGTTGTGAAAGGAGACGAAAGGTATCTTTTTGTGATGGGTCGATGTGCGGACGTGATCAAACGTCAAAACCATGAAGAAATCCATCCACATTATATAGAAGCAGCTGCTTATAATAGCAGTCCGTGGTTTCTGAGAGCGGGGTGTTCGGCTGCGTTTGAGATTTCAAACACAGTTGTGGTGGTTGTGGAGATGCAGAGGAATGAGAAAGAGATTGGGGTTTTGAGGAAGATATGTGAAGGAGTGAGAAAAGGTGTGGCTGAAGAGGAGAGAGTTGAAGTTGGGATGGTGGTTCTGGTTAGAAGTGGGAGTGTGCCTAAAACTACTTCAGGTAAAATACAAAGATGGGCAACCAAAGACAAGCTCATTGGAGGCAAAATGAGCGTTTTGATGGAGATGCGGTTTGGTGATTATGGTGACTCTTTTTCAAGTTTTGGGATAATAATTGGTGAAAGTGAGGGGAAAGGTGATTACGGGAGAGGAAGAGGAGGAGGGAAGACAAAAGTGGTGGTAGGTGAGGAGAGAGAGGACATCTTTCTCTCATTCTCATCAAACGGTCCACTTCGTCCCTCATTGCTCTCTTTTTTGTGAGAAAGTGAAACCCATTTACATCCGAATGATAAAGTTTGATGAACCAACTAAGAGGTTGATGATCAGTTTGAATAAGTTCAAAGTAGTATATATATAATTACAACAATTGTAATGTATTTATCTTGTATTTGGGTACGTAGAGACGTTCCTAGGAATTATATATACACCATGTCAAGTGTCATAAATAAATTTCTCTTTCCAAATGAGAGTAACAAATTTCAAACCAACAAAAGAGAGTAAAAAGTCAGTAATCCTAATATTAGCAATGCGTCTGTAACTCAAATGGTTAATAATATTTACTCATAAATATGAGATTTTGTGTTTTTCTTATATATAAAATATTCTCATATTTTCTCCACACACACACACAAAAACACTTGGAATATTGGGTGTGATGTGAATAAGGAAGCCCTTTTTAAAAATACATCATTATCAATTGAAAGGCTATAACCTATAGTGAGGAGTTTAGAGTGAGGAGCTTATTTGAGGGATTCAATCCGATCATTAACAAATTGTGAGGAAATCAACAGACTTAAACATTTTAAATGGTTTGGTAGTGGGATTGAACCCCTCAACTCCTCCTGCCCTGTTTGGTGGGCTAGACTGATTGAGATATCTCCGATTAAAATGAACATGAATCCTAACCATTATTTGATGGGCTTAAATATATTCCAGACGTGGGTTAAGAATGAAGGCTATGTCGTCACTTTCAGCCTTCTTCCCATTCCATCCCATCTGGTTTGACTTTGACATGAGATTATTATTTTTTTTTCCTGTGTTTTTAATCTTGATATGAGTTTGATTTTGGGTTTGATGTTATGAGTTCTCTTCTCCATTTGATTTTGTGAGTTCTCTTCTCACTGAGAGAGGATGCTACAATTTTGTAACAATGGTGGCTCTTTTTACTATTGTTAATAAATAAATAAATATATTGATATATTTTTTTTAAAGGAAGAAGTTAATTATTATTTGTTGTTTGGCGCAAGAATGAACGTTACTGGACTCAAAACCTAGGGCCTGTTTGGGAGTGCTTATGAAAGGGCCAAAAGCGTTTTCTGATAACTAAAAGCGCTTTTGACAGCGTTTGGCAGAAAAGTTTAGAAGTGCTTCTGGGTCATAGAACGCTTCCTGGAGAAGCACCTGCTATGTACTTCTTCAGAAAGCACTCCCAAGTGCTTTTCCACAAAGCACTTTAATTTTTTTATGAAAATTCAAGATTTTTATAATAAAAGCGCTTTTGTTAGAATCGCTTATGAGCAGAAGTACTTCCTAGAGAAGCAGTCCCAAACGAGCCCGTAGTTAATTCAAGCCAACCCAATTCAATACTTTAAAGCCCATCTTATTCAGTTCAAGCCAACAAGTCAACCCACCAAACGAGATCTCATTGGGCTCAGTTGATGTTGTATCTCCCAGGTTGACGGGGATGGAAGGATGGGCCGTTGACCCCAGATAACCTTTGAAAAATCTAGATGATGCATTACAGCTTTTGTTTAACCAGATGAGTTGAGTTGGGCTTTAGCATTTTTAAATATCGCGGGCCACAGTTGTAGGACCCCTACCCTACCCATTCACTGTCAGAACTACGAGGCCCCCAAAACGTTGTGGTTTGTACGGTCGTATTGCGCAACTCCCATTTGAACTTAAAGACGTGCCTGACCTGTAATGGAACCTACGTATATTACGATGTCATCTCTGGTCTCACAATTCTCATTTCTAACCCAACCGCAACCACCAAATAAATTGGAGTTATATATTCACGGACTCTCATGCTTGCAACTTGCAAGTACGCTATTATTAGGGTTTTTTTTTCATGTCCTTTTTTTTGTATTTAAATAATCACAATTCTAACATGCCTAGCATAATGGGATAAAGCTTCTCTTCTCTTTTTAAAAAAAAAAGCATTGACTTCTGGACACCTGGAGCTAACCCACTGATAAAAGAGTGAGACAAAAAAAAAACTTAGAATTAAGATATGTCATGCAAATGTTTCAAAAATGTTGAATTTCGGAAATAAATGTGACACACTTATAGCACATTATTCTTGGGGGGATTGAATTAATATATAGTTCTGAAAATTTAAAATGCCATGTGGTATAATGTTATTGGGTATACGAAATTATTCATTTATCCCGGAGGAGGTGCATACATGCAGGATTAATTTTTTTTATTTATTTCTGTGTGTTTGGGTAAAAATGAAATGAAAATAAGCAGAAATTGGTTGAAGGTGGAATATAATTGGTGGAAGGAAGCTGTAGACTGTAGAAAGAAAGTGATGAAGAAGAAGGCAAGAGAGAGAAAGAAAGGGCATCGATTGCATGACACAGAAAGGTACCAAGCAAGCAAAGACTCTTTGATTTGGTTGGGGCAAGCAAGCAAAGCAAGCAAGCAAGCGTGATTTGTCTCAGAGGGTGTGCAGAAGCCGCACGTTAGCCCTTTCCTTTCCTTTCGTTTCTTTTCCCTCTGATGCAGCAACAGCAGCAGCATCAGCACAGCAGCATCATATATATGAAATTAAATCAATGAATTAGATGAGATGAGAGACACACACAGAAGAAATAAAAAGTTAAAAAAAAGAAGAAAAGAAGCAACACGACAAGGCCACTACTGTGGACCATCAACTTTTCACTTTTACCCATCTTTGTTAAGTCATTTTTGCATGGATTCGAATTAAGAATAGTTAACCTAAATTACCCTTAATTAAATTGAGTGAATCTCCTGACTTAGAGATTAGGGGTACGTAAGTCTAGTTTTGTTGGTATATGCGTAGGATTAAGGAAGCAAAAGCGCTATAGCTAGCCAGCTACGTCGCATCAAAGGAGTAGTAGTACTGAGAATGGGGTATGTATGTATGTGTTGGGTGGTTTATGGGGAGAAGGGTGTTGAGATAAGAAATGGAAAGGGGCAATAATGAAGGGTGAGGGGGATGGGACCCACTTGGCAGGGCGTGGGAGAGGTCTAATTTAAGAGAAATGTCATCTTAATTTTTCAAAATCCATGATTTGTCATATGACTTTAACATCATCCAGTTTTCCATCCATTTTTAAGAGTATTTTAATCTTTCTATTTTCAAGAAAATAAAAGAGAGAAAAAAGTGACCTCTTTCCCTTTCTCCCCCACCTACCCCCAAAACACATTGGACATGAGCCTCTCTCTCTCTCTCTCTCTCTCTCTCTCTCTCTCTCTCTTTGCACTACTTACTTGGTTGGACTCTTATCCTTCCCGCTGGCCTCACCACAAGCAACCAACCTGTCTCTTGTTGGAAGCACAGAAGCACAGAAGCACAGAAAGCACCAATATCCCAAAGGACCCAACCCAACCCATCTCTCTCTCTCTCTCTCTCTCTCTTTTTCTGCTTATTATGCTTTTGATTTTTACCTGTCTGGAGGCCATTAGAGACGTTCAGGCAGTGATGTTTAAGGTGCTCTTTCAGCTACTTAAGTCTTTCTCTCTCTGTCTCTTTCTTACAACTGTGAGTTAATTGGTTTCATTTTAGTTTTAATCTCTCCTTTGTTTTGTATTTTGAGACTCATATGCAATTTCGTTTCTCTCTCTCTCTCTCTCACAGAGCTTGGGTTTTTAACAGCAACTGTTGAAGATTACGACATGGGGTTTTGGTGGGATTAGCACCCTAATATATGTATATGCTCGAATCAGATATCTGAAACTGGTTGGGGACAATACTAGGAATACGATATTAAAAGTTTAGCTCTACCTTCTTTTGTCATCTGTATTATTTAAACATTTTCTTTCCTTTCTTTTTTTTTTGGGAAATTAATTAGAGGAGAGCTTAGCTAGAGAGAAGCCTCAGAACCCCAAGAAAGTACAAGACTGGGTTGAGATCAATGAGATGCTTTTTGCCAGCTTTCCATATTAAATAACATTTTTGTATGCATCAGTTATGGATTTTAGAGCACAACCCCAAGATAACGAAATGAGGACGTCAGGCTCTTTGAGCTACGCTTCTTCTGCTCATCATTTAAGTACCAAAGAATCATCACCCGCAGCAGCAGCAGCAGCAGCAGATCATCATAAGAGAAGGGTTGGGATTCACAATGGCAACAACACTTACGCTACCAGCCCCCATCAAACCCTAGACCACCACATTCAACACCCACACCCACCTTTGCAACCCCTCATCCGAGACCCAGATCCAGACTCTTATCCTTCCCGCTGGCCTCACCACAAGCAACCAACCTGTCTCTTGTTGGAAGCACAGAAGCACAGAAGCACAGAAAGCACCAATATCCCAAAGGACCCAACCCAACCCATCTCTCTCTCTCTCTCTCTCTCTCTTTTTCTGCTTATTATGCTTTTGATTTTTACCTGTCTGGAGGCCATTAGAGACGTTCAGGCAGTGATGTTTAAGGTGCTCTTTCAGCTACTTAAGTCTTTCTCTCTCTGTCTCTTTCTTACAACTGTGAGTTAATTGGTTTCATTTTAGTTTTAATCTCTCCTTTGTTTTGTATTTTGAGACTCATATGCAATTTCGTTTCTCTCTCTCTCTCTCTCTCTCACAGAGCTTGGGTTTTTAACAGCAACTGTTGAAGATTACGACATGGGGTTTTGGTGGGATTAGCACCCTAATATATGTATATGCTCGAATCAGATATCTGAAACTGGTTGGGGACAATACTAGGAATACGATATTAAAAGTTTAGCTCTACCTTCTTTTGTCATCTGTATTATTTAAACATTTTCTTTCCTTTCTTTTTTTTTTGGGAAATTAATTAGAGGAGAGCTTAGCTAGAGAGAAGCCTCAGAACCCCAAGAAAGTACAAGACTGGGTTGAGATCAATGAGATGCTTTTTGCCAGCTTTCCATATTAAATAACATTTTTGTATGCATCAGTTATGGATTTTAGAGCACAACCCCAAGATAACGAAATGAGGACGTCAGGCTCTTTGAGCTACGCTTCTTCTGCTCATCATTTAAGTACCAAAGAATCATCACCCGCAGCAGCAGCAGCAGCAGCAGATCATCATAAGAGAAGGGTTGGGATT